AAGACTACAAGCAAAATGACACGTGAAAACTAAAGTACTTTTCGCCAAATTTTCGCCTTAAATACAGATATTTGCCGATTTATATGTATGTACATATATTGAAAATACAAATCGCATATCAAGAGCAAATTTGAAGGTGCTGTAGTTATCGGCCAAAAGATCAAATATTGACTCACTGCAAATACCTAACGGAAGATTGTAAATGCAGATAAATCTAGACCGATCCTTCGGCCTTGGAAAAACATGGAAACAGATGCCATAGGAAGTTTTGGAATCCCAAAATCAACATAAATATTTCGAAAAACTGATCAGTTGCATAACACCAACGGTACATTTCAGGTACCGGTATTGATAAACTTATCAACTCCAGTGGAAAATTACAGGAACTCTAGTAAATCGATATCAATAGCTTGAAAAATAGGTTTAGTATAATTGAACTTTTACGTGAAAAAATAATACGCTGAATTTGATCAGTAGCTACTTAAACTTAGTTAAACCAACACATTTGCGCTGCATATTTAATTTCGCGATGAATTGAATACGCTCTATTGTATTATAATTTATACATTAGGTAGCTTCAGTGATTTGATCGCTTTACCTTTAAATCAGAATATTATCGTTGCTCTTAGACTAAGTTTTTCAGCAAATTGTGCTTTTTGCACACTTGCATACTACCACACCACTTACCAAGCTAAAATAATTTGAAAGTAATTCATAATGGAACTGAAAAAATTAAGGAGAAATATCAAAAGTCACAGAGAGGCCTGGGGCTAATTCAATTATGACCATCGTTTTAGGCCAAAATTGGAGCTAATCAACGCCGAGCCCTGGTGCTAACAAAAAAACATTTTTAAAATCATGTTTAAGTGCTGGCTCATATTCAAAATGTAAATAACGCGATTGCTACGTTAAAAATATTTAAGCCTTCTTAGCTTTTTTATTATGTCTAAAACCCGAGGGAGTTTTAGAGCGACTTCCACTTCTTTATCTAGAGTTCTTACGGAGTTTAATGCTTAAAAAAATGAACGGTGAAAAGAATATTCCAAACTCTAAAAACTCGCAGATGCAATCAAACAGAAGTACAGACTAAATTAGCAAGCCCAAACAAAGACAAACAAACCGAAATTATATTTGAAAACGTTTCGTTGACTGATTCATTTTTTTTCAGTCATAAATGAATGAAAAAAGAACATATTTTTCACTGTGTCTTGTTTTTTCGTAATAAACTCTATACGGAGAAACTAAACATAAAAAATCAGCGCGCATTGAAACATTTCTCAAAAATTGCCTGAGGATGAGCCAAAATCGAAACGTTTTCCACTTATGGAACGCACTTTGCTTTATAAAAGACCCCCATAAGTGATACTCCAATTTTTCTGATTTCTGAGGAAAAAGTGTCAAACTTAAGTCTGCATATACCGGAAAATTCTATAACAAATAAATAACAATCTTTAAAATAACCTGATGATGATTCAAAATCGAAACTTTCCACTAATAAAACAGACTTCGTTCTACAAAATGCATGAAAAAGCGACCTTCTCCCTTGCTAACCTCTGCCCAGCAAAAACCACCTGGAAAACTAAAGGCAATGTTGAAAAATTGTCAAAAATTCCTTGATGACTGAACTACGAAACTTTGCCCTCCAAGAAAAAGGGCTTTGCCCTACAAAACGCATCCAAAACTGAAACAAAAGTGATGAATAAAAAAAGGTCAAACTGCGACCTGCTCAAATATCTGCGAAAACCATATATAATTTTGAAAAAATCTTGAAAATTGCCCGATGACTGAAATTTGAAACTTTTGTCACTAATAAAGCAGACTTTGTCCTACAAAATGCATGCAAAAGTGACCTTCTCACTTGGTTAATTTTTGAATAAATAAATGCCAAAACTTCGTCCCGCAAAAACAACTTGTAAAATCATACTTGATGATTGAAATTCAAAAGTTGCCCTCTTACAAAAAGTTTGCTATATGAAAAGTGTTTTTTCGACAAGTGGAAACACACACAGAAAAGACAACACCTCAAAAAGCCCAACAAGCACTAATAACAAGGAAAACCGAAGAGATAACCAGAAGCAACCAAAAGACGCCAAAGCTAAAACGGACAGATATTCAGAAAAAATTGGGAAACGTTTTAGTGATTAGGATAATCCATACCCGATTGACAACCTTTGCAAACAACCATTAAAAGAAATGGACTAAACGAATTTTAAAGTTTGTTAGATTTAACGGATCCAATGCGAATTATACTAAAAGAATAATTTTCGACCCAAGTTAGGTAGCCGGATTATGGGTCTAGATGTTTCTTCACGTAGGCTTAACCTACACCTGCTGGTCGTTGGCAGCGGGATATTGAAAAACAGGCAAATTAGTCAGAAACTTAATAGGTTTTGGTATTTATTTCTGTGTTAGTACCCAAGAAAAATGGCCAATTACGTTACAAAGTAAACATTACTTTGACCTGTTTTGTATAACTAAACTTCTGTATATTACCGCCTTATTTTGAGTGTTTTGCACCTATGCAACTCTGTAACTTATCCCTTCTTAGTAAATGAAGAAGTTTTAATCAACTTTATCGATATCGATAAAACTTAAAAACTCTCCAAAACAGACCTTCAACAGTTGGCAAAAAGCGCCAAACTTATCAACACTTAACGATATCATCCATCGTGTTATAAACCAATCTAAATACCATTAAACGTTTGATTTGAAGCAAAAAATTAAAAGCGACCGGTTAGAATCATCAATTTAAAGTTTGACTTGATCCTAATTGCTCGAACTGGCTTTGCACTTGTTAATCAACTTGTGGTAGGCTAAAATGATGCAGGGTCAGGCAGGAAATTATTTTTCCGAACTGAAAATAGATTCATTATAAGACCGGGACTCAAGTCACAATTATGAAGAAACCCATCAAATGGAGCCCAATGTAATTATTTTCGAATTGTTGCCCACTGAAGAGCAAAAAATCTACGATTATTCATTACGACTCGTCGATATGGCTTAGTATTTTCTTTATACTGTGCAAATAAATCGGCTGAAATGTGACTTTAATTAGCTAGGAATTAGTTAGAAAAATGCTCCTTCAATTTGGTTGAAAAATAATAAATTCAACAGCGATTCGAAATATTTAAAGCCTCCCTGTTACATGTGTTATTAAGTCAAGCTGATTTATATCATTTTGTAAGCGGTGTTTCGGATTTATTCAGACTTAATATATTACTTTTAATACTTCCGGGATTTCATCGGTGCGGTTTGGATCAAATACGATCAATATCGCGTTTCTTAGTATTTTTCAGTTCAAATAAATCCTTTATTTGCTCAAATTCGCGTCATATTAAAGTATACAAGGAGACAATATTAATAATTTACTTAAATTCAAAAAACTTAAAAGAGCGCACTTATAAGCTAAATTGAAATCGCAAACTTCTTATACGAAAACGAAATTCCGAAAATAGGGTTTTACCAAGATGGTTAGCTTTGTAAAAACTTTCTTTTTCGATCGATTTCAATTAGCATTTTCTATTAGTTAGATATGAAAAGTAACACTGCGACCGAATTTGTTTTGTTGCTCTGCGTTACAGGGTGATCAGATCAATCAATATAATAATCATAAAATACAGTAAGTATGAAAAAATTTATATTAAATTCTGTGTTTTTAATGTCGATATGTACAGATGTTATGCTTTGTGTGCGGGTTTTTTGATGAGAATATTCTAAACCGTATTTTTTTAAATGCGAAATCTAATTGATTTTTATGCACGGAATCGTAGAGCAATGTAAACTGGTAGAGGTGAATTTTAGACGGTTTTAAGTAATAATAATAAGACGCAATTTTTCAAATTTGATAACTTGAAAGTTCACGTGGTGACACCGAGTAAAATTTGAGAATCCCCACTAGTCAAATGCGTATTTTGAATATCTAGATAACAAAAAAAGAATCATTGAATTCGATCAAAAAATTAAGATTTTACAAGGGTGTTAAGTTCTCAACCCGGGCCCGACAAAAATTTACAAATAACAAAAAATCACCCCGTTGAAGAGTTGCAAAAAGACAGAAGCAGCTAAATGTATCGTATCTGGAAGGAGATATTAATTTTGCATCGCACTTCGTTGTCGATAAATAAAAATCAGCCGGATTCCATCACAAAAAACTATTAAGTAATTAAAATAAAATCAAGTTAACTTTCAATAATTATCAATACAAATGTTTACACCGATTCACCCGGTATAGTAGAATTTCAATTTCGTCTAAATATGACATGTTTTGTCCAGGTGCAGCCTTTCTTCTTTTACCTGTTGGTGCCAAGTTAAGAGACAGATTATTGTAGTGCAAAATAATACCAGAAAAGGTTTCATTCTAGGCTTTATTCGAAAAGATACTTATGCAGGGCTTAAGCCTTTGGGGGTTCCTTTGTTGGTCCCAATATTTAAGTTTTTAGGGCCAATAATACTGTACACGTAAATACAGTGGCTTGAGGCACAATACACCGGAAACTTTATTTGCAGATTCTTGGCTAGATATTATTGCTTAGGCCAATTTGCATAACAAGTCTGCGTGAAATTTCTGTGGGTACCACTTTCCTTAGTTACACACTTTCATGTAGTGTGATGATCCAAAGCTAACAATGTTTTTCACTACTTAATAACACTAGTGGGCCTTTTGAAAAGTCGAAAAGTTCGCTGTTTGAAAGTTTTTGAAACACTGCCAAAACTGAACGTTTTTTACCTAGTACGTACTTTGGAATGTTAAAAGATTTACTTTTAAAATCTTCATTTGGCTGAGAATACTCTTCATCTTAAATTATCAAAGGTTACATAAGATATCATAAAACAGCGACAAAAAGTTTGGGAGCTGGAAACTCAGGCGCCAAACAAATGCAGCAGTTTCCGACCCAATTTCAATCTCCATCTCATTATTCATTCATTTCATGTTTAATACTGGCATGCAATCAGCCAAAAAATCTAAAATACCCTTAAGTTTCCTAGGTTTGGGTACTTACTACGCAAAAGCTACAATATAAACAAGATGTTTCAAGTACTTCGAATGAAAACAGTTCAACATTGAGTACACTGTTCTGGAGAGAAAAGACAGTCACATCCAGTCACAAGTTTTCATTGAAGAAAAATTACATAAACTAGTCAGGTTTGGCCGGTACCGAACGAGCACAACAAAAGACGAAATACTGAACGGAACTGATGTTAACGCACGTTGAACTTTTTCTGCTTCGTCCGCAATAGTCTGAGCTTCGTTTACCGCAGTACGCTTAAGTACGACCGTGCGCCTACCTTACCTTGAGAGACCGACCAAGAACCCATATCTTCAGAGCTTTCGATCGACCTATGACGATGTTGCCGATAATGGTCAGATTAAGCCCAAAATGCTATTATTTGAGGCGAGATTCAGTTCTATTTGGCTGGTTTTGTCACCTCCTTCATAAGTGCGAATGCGTTCGATCATTGGTACCACCCAATCAGTGCCAGAGAATATACAATCTATTAAAAAAGTTTTCTTTCTGAAGAAAGCCTCAGCAACTTATGGGTTCGATGAACAATTGCAACCCATTTCGGAATTGGCTGACCAAATTAGTAAGTTTTGTAATAATTTTACATATTTTGTAGTGAAATTCAATATTCAGTGCAATCTAACAGGCACAATTGGATATTGCTTAAAACGGTAATTAAATAAATAAAAATAAAGTCTGCCACACGCGGTCTTATGCCGCCGTACGATTTTGTTGGATGCGATTGTAGCAGAGGATTGCAGTACAATTTTTCTGTACCTAAATCGGATACACACACACGTAACGATCGCGAAGCTTGCTAGAATGCTTTACTTGCATACTTTGAGTGGCTACTGCGCTTTCCATAATTGAAAATCAACAAAAAATTATTACGAAAAAACGCGGAAAAATTTAAAGAAAATAAATTAATTTTAGCTTCAGTTCCTTCGAGCAGTTTCATAATGATAAAATTGTGTCTTAAAAACATTTACGCTTTCTTGATCCCTAACTATCCCGTATCCTGACAAAATATTTAATTCGGAATCACCCTGTATATGTACTTCTTGTGAACATTTTGTGTTTCAGACAATACGAATATTGACTGAATGGTACGGATTTTTGAGCCCTTTTTTCTAAAAATGTATTAAAATTTATATCTATTTTCCATATGAGGCGTTTTGCTTAATTGTGTCTATTATTCGCAAAAAATACTACATTAAATTTTTTCAAAAACCTGCCTACAAACATGGCTTAATTCAATGGCAATTTCTAATATTCTATTTATTAACAATTTCGTTCAGTGTTGGGTCCTGAAGTTACGTTCAAAAGAGAGCAGGAGTGGGACAATAATAGCAAAATTACTTTTAATTATCTGCCGTCGTTTCGACCCTGATTAAGATCTTCTGCAGGGCTAAAAGAGCAAAACCAACAGTTACACAATTTAAGGAGCAAAGAAAGTTCACAGTTAGCTTAACTATAAAACAGATAAATAAAAAACCAAAATACGTAAATATACGTGGACCAACCTACCATTTCAAATTACGGGTGAACGTTATGTCTTTCTACGTATATTTATGTATTTTGCTTTTTATTTATTTATTTAAATTGTTAATCAATAATGTAAATTGGTGTTTCAAATCATCAACAGTTTACATAAAACTAACATTAAATATATGTTTATTAATGAAGTACATAATTATCCAGCAAGAGCACAGAATAACATTTATAAAACACGGGTAAGGACTAATATAGGTTTAAACAATCCAATAATGCGGGCATCAGCATCATTTAATGAACTACCTCTGGATGTAAGAAATAGCGGTAATTACAGGGAATTTATAAAAAATCTAAGGAAAAACTTAAATATAAGCTAGGTAATGTGAAGAATTTTATCTATCTGATGCTAGACATACAGGTCAAACATATAAATTTAGTACTCGAGGCCAGTGCTTCAAGCACTGTTTAGGATTCATGTTCAACATATTGTAAAATATTATATTATGGTATTGTAATATTGTAAAAAAAATTGTGTAACTGTTGTTTTTGCTCTGAAGAAGACGTCAATGAAGGTTGAAACGTCGGCAAATAATCAAAAAGGGACGTTGTCATTATTGTCCCACTCCTGCTTTCCTTTGAACTTAATTCTATTTATAAAAAATGTAAAATTTTCATAATGGGTTGACTTTGAAAGTGTTGTGAATCCATTTGAGATCATCAAAAATATAAACATGTTATTATAACCATCACACTATAAATTTGAATAAATTTAGATTCAATTGATTTTGAACAAAATTTTTTTATGGAATATTTTAATGGAAATTGGAAATTTTTATGGAACATGTTACATAGGTATAAGGCATATTAATATAAAAAACACAGCTGTTTTAGTCAAATAAAATATATGAATTTAGATTATTTGTAAAAAATGCACAGACGAGCCTATAAAACTTTGAGATAAGGCAGGAAACGAAAGTCCATTTCTTCAAAAAATAATTTCCCGTCAACTATGCAAACAAATGGACAACTATGAAGCAAAAAATTGCAAATTTTATACAGAATTCGGAAATTAACACAAAATTGGATTTGAAAAATAGAAGAAAACATTAAAAATTATGCGGGATGTAAAAACCAAACTGTATCGCGGTATTGCTTTTATGAGACATTCTGTGTACTTAAAACCAATCATTGACTAGACGTTCTTACTCCTTCCTGTATAGCGCGGATCTGTATTATTACATTTGTTGCTTTAGAAAATACAAAAAAATATATTTTAAAACGTAGGTTTTTCAATCTCTTGCGATTAATGTACGCGAAATAAAAAAAATATGTACATTAAAATAATAATTTGATATTAATATAAATGCATTTGCTTCAACAGAACAACATAATTTGGTGTTAGGCCCTGTATATGTGCAAAATATTGATTGAACAGTCATTTATTTTAAGTTTTGAACGAATCGCGCAAGAAATGCGCCTTTTGCATCAAAAACTTCAATTTGCATTAAAAAGCTTAAGAGATGTGGTGTTTCTTTAGTTGAAAAATTTCGGTAAATTCAAGTGAACATTTCAACCGTTTTATTTAAAATAAAATTTCAAAAAAATGTCTAGAAACTGTAGAACAAACGAATCAAGAAAATTCTTTGCAACATACAAAACCTATGAAAAATTGGCAACATGCGATTTCAAAAGGTAATTTAACGGACTTCACTTTGCAAGCTCTGCAAGCATATTTTTTTAATTAAAATTATAGCAAATCTGTCACACTTTGTCAAAATAGTGTCGAAGAAAACAAATAAAAAGACGACTGTACCACTAAGAACATTATTGAAAAGAACAGCAGATCAAGTACTTAAAATCAGTTTCACCTGCTTTTTTGCAACAACAACCAGGACGTTTACATCGACATGATGAAATGCATCCTGACTGTTTCCCTCCTGTGTATATCCATATGGATCATGTACCTGATTGGCATATATTTGTTTTATTTGGCGATTTACTCGAAGGAGCTTCTGTGTGAAATTTGATTCAGAAATAAAATATGCTTTTAAGTCGATTTCACAAACTTCCAGCATGCAACACCCGGTATATTCGGCGCACTCAATTTTTTCCGTATACCCTCTCAACTTTCCGATCCCAGGCCTCGGTTGACATTTTTTCTCGTTCTCTTCGTTTTGCAATTGACAATTCAATTGACCGGAGCCGGTTTTCTCAGAACGGTTTCGCCATCGGCTTTTGTTATCTGCCGCCTGCCGAGCGCAGACTCAATTGGTTTTCGGTTGTTTTTTTTTTTCTTTTCGTTCGCTTTCAAGTTAATTTTTTCGGCTGGTACCGGATCGGTTGACATTTCTAACTTAATTTAACAAGCATACGTCGGATGGACTTTTTGATCCCATATGAAGGGAGAAACGAGTGGCGTGTGTAATGCAAAACCATCGGTCAGCATGGAATTTCAGCAATTTCACTCTTGGAATTATTATGGTCTGGCTTGCTGTTGGTTGTAATGAAACATGACCGCTTTTGGCTAAGGTTGCAGTGGAATTTTGCAATCATTTATCAAAGGAGGCCCTATAGAATATTCATTCACTCACAACTTTCTCGTGGAATTTTTGACTGTTTCCCCGTTATATGACGAATTCGTAGTGCAATCGCTACTTTTTTTTAAATGGGCAAATTTGCAAAAGTCGCTAAGAAATCAAACAGAACAAAAACTAATGTTCAAATTGGAAGTTTCCATTTCTATTCCTCACTTTCAATATCCGAAGCCATTTCTATAAAATAATTGACAAAGAAATACTTGTTAATTTCTCACTTCTAAACTGCTTAGTTTTTTGTGTAGAACTTAGCGCAAAACTGACTAAGACTCTATGGGAAAAAGTACTAAAATAGTTGCTATACTATAAATACGTGTTAGAAAAGCCGGTTTTCAGGACTCATGAATCAACCCTTTGATTTTTCCTTAAAATATCCAAAACATTTTCTAGAATATTACTCTAAATTCCTACAACTTGTTTGTTTATTAACATGTGAAAATGGTTTATAAATACTTACTGTGCATCGCACAGGATCAATTAATTTTCTTTAAGAATTTAGAGATTTTTGCGCTATCCAATAACGTATTTGTTCTTAGAACACGAGTTAAGGTGCAAAATAAATATGAACAAGAGTCGAACAAGTTTTAGCTGCCTAAAATGTAAATTAATAAATAGCCAAAATGAAAGTCAGTAGCGTAATTCTTTTTACCGAAACTAAACTGCTTCACGATTCACTTTACCATTAGTTTTTGTTTTTGTAATATATTATTGTTACCCGCGGGTCTCAATAGCTTCAAAAACAGTAATTTAAATTTATTTATGTTTATTTAAAACACTTTATTTGATCAAAGACCTAATATGTATCTAAAACGTGATTAGTTTTTTATATTTTTAATCTTTGTCTACTTAGCACTCATCCATGAACTTGTGGATGTCATATTAGACGACTGAAGGAAAACTTTGAATCAACAGTAGAAACTGTTTGTGCAGAAAATGTCTGCATTCAGTTTCTGTTTTTTAGCTATTCAAAGCCCGAAAGAATTTAAGCTATTCAAATTTTTATAACTATTCTAGTGTGAATTTTGAAAATACTTATTAATTTCTCTCTTCTAAATTACTTCGTTCTTTGTGTAGAACTTAGACGTAGAGCGCAAAACAAAGACTCTAAAAACCACACAAATTACAAAATGTTGCAAAAGCAAACAGTTGTTTTCTTTTCGAAATAATTCAAGCCACGAGTTGATTCTTTTCCGATTGTTATAACTTTTCCAGTCTCAAAT